GGGGCGAGTCAGCTGGGGATGGTAATGGAGGTGGGCCCGAGTTGGGAAGACAGACGCGATGCTAAGATCCCGCGGCAAAGAGGAGTATCACGAATCCAATTGAAGTTATGAACTAAACGCGTAATGAGCTTGGTGGTACAGCGCCCCTGTCCTCCACACCCATCCGGTTACCCAAGTAAGTATTATTATATTATCATAAGCGGCTCTCCCGATCTTCGAGTCGTGCAGCATCCTCATCAGCGAGTCTCTCGCTCTATCTTCTGTTCTCTCTCGCACCCTCGGAATCCCCCATCGTTCTATCCTATCCAGGCTGGCACCCATGCTACCGCAACTAATTTCATTTCGCAAGTCTTTAATTAGTATTCGTCGCGAGGCGTCCGAACTTTTTCACTAGGGGAGCTTGCAAGCTCCAACGAGCCTTGGCTCCACCCCGACGACCCCGCGTCGCGACGCCATCGGCCTCGTTACATCGTTCAGCCACATTTGCATAGGCTCGCCCACTACCCCACTATTCTACTATTCCACTGTCCCCTATAGGACCCGACTCCTCCGTGGGCATCTTTACCGACTTTTAGCCACTCTTCCCACTATTGTAGGCCTCCTAAGCATCGCTAAGAGAGTCGCGTCACTCCTTCCGGCGGTCCTCTTCTTACTCGCCCCCAAGAATCCCTATCCCGGCCGGCTAACCTAACCAGAGACGTGGCTCAGCCGTCTTCTCATCCTTTTTACCTTAGCCAAACGTTCCGTAGACATTACTTACGGCCTGAGACTTATGCGCCGGCTAGGAAGATGCTGGGGTTAAGAAGATCCACGGAAGAGAATTAATGTCTCGCGTACTTGTCACGTTTTTACGTTCGTTTTTTTTTCTTTTCTTCGTTTTTTCATTCCTCCCATACCTTCTTTTTTCACTTCTTTTTATCCACGGCCAGAGTAGACTCGCGCCGCCCGCCCGAGTTTCTTAACGTAGCCCCGCTGCCTCAGTCGCTCGAGGGCTGTTTGCTTGTTTCTTCCTTTTTTCCCGTTTCTTCGTTTTTGACTTTTTTCCTTCTCGGGCGATATGCAAATTTTTTTTGACCCGCGGCAGGGGCAAACAGTGGTTTGGGATTCTTCTCCGGTGTTCCTCCCTCGAACGACGTTTTCCCCTTTCTCTTTCATCCGTATGAGAATACGGCCTTCTTCGGCGACTCGAGAGTATCGCGAATACGGTTCTTCGGGATGTCCGATCGAGGCCATTTGTCTCGGCAGGCGCAGTTCCATATCTGCCAGCGATAACGAGCGAGGGGTCAAAACGACTCTTTCCGGAGAAAAATGTTTCGCAGGATGAATTTGGCGGGGTGGGCCGAGTTCTCATAAGGGAAGAGAAAAAGTACGGGAGCGTGAAAGTAAGTAAGAGAGTGAGAGAGAGAGAGAGAGAATACATTCCTCTCGGCCTTAAGCAGAAGTTCCTCGTGACTTCCGCATAAGCGAATACGAGGACACCCCTCCTTCCTCCGGCCGTACCCACCCACCCTGTCTCCGTGACTCGAGCACTGCTTGATCTACGACTTCGCTCGCGACGAATCCAGGTTCATTTTTTTAAGGCATTATTTCGGCCTTTCTTTTCGCCAATTTGAAATTCAAAATAGTTTACCTTACCCTACCGAAGCAGGACTACGTAGATCCGCGGAAAGAATGCGTTTGAAAGACGTTGCCGCGGGGAAGGGGGGGGGGAGGGTGGAAAAGGGCCGAGGAGCTTAATATTTTAGGCCACCTGAACGACTGCTACTCAATCTTTCAGAAGGGTATCAGCCCCATCCTGTTCAAGCTTCCCTCCAGACCTCTTCTTTACATTCTCTCGTCCTTCCAGTTCTTCTTCGTAACCACTCTCGCTCTACCCACTGCACCTTAACGGGCCCCTCGGCCAGCGCCTCTTACTGTGTCTGTCGCTGCTGCTGCCACCTGCACGTCCTCCACCTGTACGTGTGTCGAGGTTACGTTAGAACGCGTCGCTTTACAGCCAGTTTAATATTCCTCGGAAGACACTAGGCCAAGGAACTCGGGCAGCCGGTACCAGACGCTATCAGACGCTACCAGACGCTACCAGACGTTAGCGGTCGCCTGCAGACGTGGGCACCGGCGAGTCAAACTCAAATCTTCGATAGAATCTTTTTGGCGATCTCTTGCATCGATGAAATTTCAAATTCTTGGCTACAACTTCTTGGCACACACCTACCGGCACCTCGTTGCCCATTAACTATAGCAAATTGTTCTGAAGCGACATTAATGTCGCTCCTAAACTCCTCTTAGTCGCTTCCCCATGCTCCACGAAATCTCTCAAGCACTTTTTTTCTTTCTTTATATACCTCCTCGGTAACCATGCAGAAGTAGCTGACTGCGTTTAATCAATTATCACTGCTACCAGCTCATAGTACAGTGTACAGAAGCTCCTAGTGTTCTATACGGGCCTCATCCTGAAAG